AGAGAGAGAGAGAGAGAGAGAGAGAGAGAGAGAGAGAGAGTCTTCACATGCAGCCAAGAGGAGGGGTGGGAAGAGGGAGTAGAGCGAAGAATGCTGGGGGGAGTTCCGCGAGCATAGCGAAAGTCGCACCTACCTGCACACACACACACACACACACACACACACACACACAGAGAGAGAGAGAGCAGTTAGCCCTGGGAAAGGGAGAAGATTCTTGTCCTCTTCTCCCTTTCCCAGGGCTAACTGCTCTCTCTCTCTCTCTCTCTCTGGGTTTGAGATATGATTCCTTGTATCGGTCTCCGCATGACCTCTGTCTCTCTCTGGATATGACCCTGTCTCTCTTTTGATCCGATTTTCACTCCCTGATACATCTCTCTCTCTCTCTCTCTCTCTCATGGTATGTGACTGTGCGCACATGCCTGCATGCTTGCACAGAGATTTTCTTGCACTGCACTGTGTGATGAAAAGCTGGGCCACATGCGCAGCATCGTTTTTGGCCTGAGAACCAGCAAGCTGGCTGACCGGAAAAGAAAAGTGTCATGTGGTGCCTGGCGTGCTTCTTCCCTTGCAATGCATGGTGCCACAAGGCACTTTTCTTCTGCCGCAGAACTGGCAGGCCAACAGACGAGTGAGTGGCCCCCGTGGGACTGCATCACGTGAACCCGCTTTTCAGTTGAAGTAAGGACCATATGAAATTACCATACAAAGATGAGTACTTCTGGTTTTTGAGGTTGCACCGCCGCATATCTCGAGTTTTGGGCATGCACTGCAGCATGTCTTAGCGTATTGCACAGTGCACTGCAAGCATGTGCTATTAGGAGTATGAACCCCTTAAAGTGCAGGCTTGCACTGCTGGGCATCAATGGAATCCAGCCTTTTCACCCCAACCATAGGTCTCTCATGAGGGAGCATTCAGCCACCCCCCCAGCCTCTACCTATGCGAACAGTCATTAAGAATGCCTTAAACCACCACTACCTTTCGCAGCTGTAGTCCCATTTGGGAAAATGACCTCATCCGAAAAAATCGGTGCCGGGCGGTTGCTGATACTTTTCGTCGACGGCTACCGGCCTCTAAAACGAGTGGGTTGGCTGATACTTTTCGTCGACGGCTACCGGCCTCTATTACGAGTGGGACCCAACCTGCGGCCGACATATGAGAAAGGTAGTGGTGGTTTAAGACAGTCCTAGAACTGCATCCCACGAACTACCCTTTCCAACCACACGCCAGGAGTGCTTTCAGCAGCTTGAGAGTGGTGAGAGGGCCATATCCCAGGCAATGAACTTCAGAAAAAGATAGGGACGGCAAGTCAAGTCCACAGGCTTGCCAGCTTGCCTTTTCTGAACCAGACCTTTGCCTCTTGACCAGAGCTGGGCCTCTGACATCCAGGTGATGACAGATAATCCTGAAGGCCCCAGTCATTATAGCTGCATCTGGTCTGAAAGTTGCCCCAAATACGGCTATAACGACTGGGCGTTCTATTCAGGTGATGACAGATAATCCTGAAGGCCACCGATGCGGAAACTGCTGCCACAAATCACGATTGTTCGGACCCCTTTTCTTTCTTTCGACCCTTCCCCCTCAACATCCTTGCGTTTTTTCTGTATTTCATAAGGAAGCATGCCTTTCGCAAACCTCAATGCCTTTGAGAAGCAAGTGACATATGGTAAGCAACTGACACTCTGCCAATGAAAACAACCGGCCTTCCACCAAGACAAACAATCAAGCACAGGAACTATCCGAAAGCCTTCAACCTTTCTTTCATAAAATTTTAAATGCATTCCGTCTGTCTTCGAAAACTGACATACACGATCGTTGGGGGTCCTCTCATCACCCTGGGACCGTAGGGCTTCACAGGATGTTTCCGTTAAAAAAAAAAAAAAAAAAAAAAGTTAAAAAAACCACGGTGATAAAAGGTACAGTGAATACTCCATCTGGGTCTTTTCGCAGAGAAAAAGTGTAATACCACATTAATAGTCTAGTGCATAATTCACTAAAACTTACTAAAGTATAATAATTAATATAGTAATTACTGTTCCTCCCCCCCCCCCCCCCCCCCAAGAAATTCGGACCATTTCTCGTTGAACGCGTGCCATCCTTGTGCAGGGGCCATCCTAATCTTCTCTATATCGTTCCAATTTTGATAGATGTCACGAATGACGTAATATGTAATTAGCACTAATTATTAAGTTACTACCAAAAAAACACACAATCAAGCTCAGAAATTACCAGAAAAAAGTAAGGACGACAGGGGCCATCCTAGTCGTCTCTGTATCGTTCCAATTTCAACAGATGTCCCAGAGGACTTAAGTCCCATTCTATACCAGAAGCTCTTAACATGGGGCCAGAAAGACCCCAGTTAATAGCTTCTTCCTTATTAACGACTCCAATCCCTTCTACTCTTTTAATACGTAACTAGTACTTACTTTCTTTTTTTCCGTAATACATAATTACTAACTCGTAAATTCTACCAAAAAAACACACAATCAAGCTCAGAAATTAACAGAAAAAAAAGCAAGTCCAGAATAGACTTACCAGTCTTGCCTTGGATTCCGCCTTCGTCTCCTTTTCGCTCTGCAGCCGCTCAGGGCCCTGAACCATGACAAAGAATAGCGTAAAGAAACTCGGTCATCATTGGTATCTTCAGCATAGAGTTCACTGAAACTTTCTTCAACTTTATTGACATAATATTTCTATCAACGATCTCAGATCGGAGGTGTTTTGTCCTCTTGTACTGAGATGATACATCACGAGGTTAGAGTCCGTTAGACAGATCGGGCCAAATCCATCACAGACACATGCTGGTCTCTGGATCCGGACATCTGGATCCTAATCACGCTCCAAACCGACAGGCATTCCGCCTTACTACGGACTAGATATTAAGAAGTGATATGGAATTTAACACAATCGTGCTTTTAGTGTAGCAATAGGGATTAACCTGTAGCCTGTAGGCCTTAGACACGGAGAAACTGGAATTCCACATTTGGGAAATCATGCTTTTACGGAAAGTTTTACCGTAGCAATAGGGATAAACCTGTAGCCTGTCGGCATTAGACACACAGAAACTGGACTTCCACATTTGGGAAATCGTCCTTTAACCGTAGCAATAGGGATTAACCTGTAGCCTGTAGGCATTAGACACCGAGAAACTGGACTTGGTCATTTGGGCCTCTGGTGATGAAACCTGTATAGACAGAGGGAACTTTGAGAAAACGCACATGGCGTAGACGAAACAGACTGTCTGCTCAGAGGAACCCCAAAAACGTGGATTGCTTTATCGATTCTTTAAGCCTTGAAAAAACTCTTCGACAATTCCAATCCTTCATAACCAGCCTGCTGGTACGTTCATATGCTAGTGGAACCTTGTTCTCTCTGATGATTCCATCCCCGCCAGCCTGCTGGTACGTTGATATGCCAGTGGAACGTTATTCTCTCCGACGATTCCATCCCCCCCCACTAAACTCGCACCCGCGTACAGTCATATGCCGGAAGAATCTATACTAAGACTCTATAGCCCTCGATGGTTGGAAAAGAGTAGCCCACATACAGTAGGCATATATAGCCCTCAATGATTGGAAAAGAGTAGCCCGCATACAGTAATATGCCGGAAGAATCTATACTAAGATTCTATAGCCAGATTCTATAGCCCTCAATGGTTGGAAAAGAGTAGCACTCCATGCCTTTCATTACAGACACCGAAAGGTCTTCGGAAGGAACACAGAGAAGTTCGCACAGATGTGTGGAACCTGAAATTGATGACCTAGTGTGAGCCCCATCACTGTTGAAAAGGGTTTATTCAATGGCAGCGGCAGAAGATGTGTCTGGTCCGCAGTGTCGGTGTACGTTTCCCCGGCCGCAGCTGCGTTCAGTCCGCGGATCGCACAGCCACCTCACATGGAGGTAAGAAACAAAAAAGGGTTCTCCTTTCCTTTCTCCCCCCATTGCCATCCTTTCTTCTCATCGAGAACGCCCCTACCGTCTTCACCCGAATAGAACGCCCCTACCGTCTTCTCCCGAATAGAACGCCCCTACCGTCTTCACCCGAATAGAATGCCCCTACCGTCTTCTCCCGAATAGAACGCCCCTACCGTCTTCACCCGAATAGAACGCCCCTACCGTCTTCTCCCGAATAGAACGCCCCTACCGTCTTCACCCGAATAAAACGCCCGGTCATTATTGTTGCATCTGGTCTGAAAGTTGCCAAATACTGCTATAATGACTGGGCGTTCTATTCGGGTGAAGACGGTAGCCATCCCCCAAACCCCTGATTGCATCTGCGTCCAGTCCATGAATTGCACATCTGCCGAACGCCCGTAGCCATCCCCCAAACCCCACATCCTTTTCCCATGACTCATCACAGCATCAGGCAAACCCTTTCCATGACCCATCACAGCTTCCGTCAACCCCAACTCCCTCATGATCCCTTCCTCCCCCCCCCCCCCCCCCCAAAGGGACCTGAAATGCGCATTTGGTTGCCTTCATCTGCCATCTCAGCCAGAGATGTCCCCGTTGCCATGTCTGCTGGACCCTGCTGATGTAATGTCGACAGTCTCCATTGCTGTTATGGTTCATTCAGCATGGTTTGCAGAGAAAAAGCATATACAAAAGTTGAAAAGAAACACCGTTAAATTCAATAATAAATTATTAAATTGTCAATTACTCTCGACTCTCAGAGTTGTCGATTGATACTATCCAATGGGCAATTTGAAATTTTCACGTTTCAAACAATCGCCCAGTCAACATTACAGGCTTGAACTTAGAAGAGGTCGAAGTCATGTTCTCCCAGACGTAAAGAAAAGAAGTGCAGGAGGGAAGACAGTCTTAGACAGATGATGTGCCACACAGTTAATATGCGATTGCGCAAACGCCGCAAAGCGACTTTCTTTTATAAGTTTCAACCTTCAAGCAATTTTGATCTTCTTTTATAAGTTTCACAAGCTATGTACAAAGTGATTTTTTTGTAAAGTTCGAAGCAATGTTTAATTAATAATTATCTGATGAATGATCAAGGGATCAATGGTCAGTACAAAAGTACGGCCGGCAAGTATTGCCCCCTTAGCACCATGCCTGCATGCCCGCAACCGTCCCCTCTCATCCCTCTCTCCTAAAACAGAGAAAGAGAAGACCAGAGGTCCTCTCCTTTATGCCCAAATGGTGAAGCAACCATTGCCTGCTTAAAGCACCAGGCCGTGAGCAAGATGCACACACATTATCTGAAGCAGCCATTGCCTGATTAAAGCACCAGGCCATGAGGAAGATCCACGTGTTAGCACGCCGGCTGCTCCTTGGACATTCCACCCAGTATGCACCCAGTTACATTCACTTGTGACGAAAAAACCATCAGAGGTCGGCAGTAGGGTCTCACCGACCGGTCGTTTAAAGGTTTAGTGCCGATAGCCATCAGGTCATTTTCCTTCGAAAAGAGAACCAAGGGTCAATCCCAGTCAGAATTGCAAAAAACATACATGGAAGTAGCCTCAAGTAGGACCATGAACCCCCTGTACGGGTATTTTCTCCTCCTCCAGGGACAAAAACCATTGCAAACGGCAAAAACGTTGGAGTAGAAGGCTATAGGGGAAAACAAAAACAAGTTATACACAACAAAGAGGCGGATAGAAGAGGGTTGTTCCAGTAGTGAATTTAGTGGGGCTTCCCAATTTATCTCCATCAGTCTCTTAAGTAAGGACCTTGTTATTGTGAGACTGAATGACAGATAACATCGACCAATATCCACCAATTTTGTGGGGTCTTTGTGGCCATAAAACCCGCACAATTGAGGCTGTATAGAAGCCTTCAACCCACACATTACATTGCGTTTGTAAATGTTGCATGGGAGGTGATGGAGGAGAGGTGTCGGGTGAGAGGTGCTGGATGAGAGGTGTTGGGTGAGAGGTGTTGGATGAGAGGTGTCGGGTGAGAGGTGTTGGATGAGAGGTGTCAGGTGAGAGGTGTTGGATGAGTAAGAAGCGAAGCTGAAAACGCACTTGACGTGGCCGGATACTCGCCGATTCCTTCATAGCAACGTGATCAAAGTGCTTTGACAATAGACTGACTGGTTTCCGCTGATAAGCACTGATTGCCTGCAAACTCCGAACATCTCGTGACTGCTGCAAGAGAGTAGAAGAATAACCTGGAACTGTCAATACCAGCGAACTGATGCTTACCAAGCGAAGGTTTTCCGGTCCCCAAGTCCTGAGCATACTGAAGAGCCTACGAGGTGAAAAAGTCGAAGATCTTTGAGCAGGCAAGAGACGTTGAAGATCTTTGAGCAGGCAAGAGATTACGTTAGTCGAACGCCACCAGCCACAGCTGAGTATCAATGACCAATTACCAGCCCACTGATGTTTACCAAGCAAAAGCTTTTTCCCAGCCCCCAAGTCCTGAGCGTAACAAAGAGTGAAAGAGGCAGGGAGATTTTTCCTAGCCCCCAAGTCCTTGGCGTACCATTGCGTGAAAGAGGCGGAGAAGCTCAAAACAAGGTCTTTGAACATCGGTGAGATTAGGTTAAGCGGAAACTCAGCAGCCCCAGCCAATTGCTGATCACTCAGAAGCAGCCTCGGGCAATTACCGACCATGCAATAGCAGCCCACTGACGCCTACCAAGCAAAAGCTTCCAGTACCCAAGTCTTCAGCATACCGACAAACCAAAGAGGTAGACAAGGTCAATGCAATCACACATGAACCAACATCTTTGAGCAGCCGAGGGTTTGCATTGGAGGAATGCTAGCAGCCACAGCCACTTATAGATCATGCAATGCCATCCTCCGAGCAGTCGACGTGTTTGTCAAAGGAAACACAAAATTTATAGCTTCCTCGTTGCAAGTCCATTCATCGATGAAAGCGGACCCTGACCACATTCGACTAACCCTCAACCCGATTCAACCAACCCTGACCAGATTCGACCAACCCTGACACCCCTTCAACCCAGAGTGCGCACTCCAGCAGAGGTCAACCAACCCTGACCAGATGTGAGTGTCCATCCGTCAATGAAAGTGGCCCCTGAGCACCGTCGAGTCGTCGACCAACCCTGACCAGATTCGACCAACCCTGACACAGTGACACCCCTCAATCAGAGGTCAACCAATCCTGACCCAATTGCAAGTCCATCGATCGGTGAAAGTGGCCCCCGACCACCTTCGGCCAACCCTGGCCAGATTCCTTCAACACTGACGTGAGTCAACCTCCCCTGACCACCTTCGACCCAGAGTGCACACTCAAGCAGAGGTCCATTTAACACCCCAACAAGATCGAGTACAAAGATCCATTCCATATCCTCCAGGAAGGCATTGCATTTCCGAGACAATCTTGGCGATCCAGTGTCAATCCAAGAACATACTTGAAGCATCCAAGACGCAACAACTTTTCCTGAGTGAATGCCCAACGAAAGGAACATCTAGCAAGGCATTGGGAGACCATCTTGGGGACCTATCACTCAAAGAACGTTCTTTGAAGCACACAAATGGGCAACAACCTTCCCTAAGTCAACCCATTAGAACCGTTCTCATTGGAAAAGCACTCGATTGCAAGTCGGAAAGCGTTGGGGTGGGGCGGATCCCTACAAAATCCTGGAAGAACAAAAGCTTTGTGATATTCCCACGATTGCTGCGTCTGTTACTTTTTTTTTTTCTTTTCCCCCAAGGTGGTGAACTCCCATCTATGAAGTTTTATCCCTGACTTTGCTGGCCCAATGAAAGAAGACCATTTACAACAGACCCCTGAGGTAGATAAACCACTTTGGACTTGAAGCCATTTTCCCTGTTCAATGAAACGAATTGCAGCTAAGGCAGCCATTACACCATGCAGATCAGGGGTTGCATTCTTACCCCTTTTTCGTTTTTTTTCCCAAATTTCCTGAGGAGATATGGTTCTACCACTGCACCATAAATTTCCATTCCCAGGGCCAGGCTCTAGCAAACCTGCCCTCAGGGCCCTGTTGCCTCTTGTTGGGGTGCCAGTGCAGGGCTGTGAGGCCCTTGCAAGGGGAGGGATATATTCCTCGCATGTTCCCAAGTTCCAGTGCTTATTGCTTCTTTGAAGTTCTTCCATAGTCCCACTGTGGTGACAGAGCCCAGAGTGCCAGTGAATCCCGTTAACAGAGAACAGAACTGCCGTTTATTTATGCCCATACAATTAACACTGTAACCCGGCTGTGCCCCATAGTCCCACTGTGGTGACAAAGCTCAGAGTGCCAGTGAATCCCGTTAACGGAGAACAGAACTGCCGTTTATTCATGCCCATACCATTAACACTGAAACCCGGCTGTGCCCCGCTCGATCCCATGTATGACAAAATCCGAAGAAGAAGCCCCCTCTCTAACTCCGTGCAGGAAACACACTTCCCGAGCCCCTGTCAAAGCCCCTGTTATTTTTCCTTCTTCCTGTCAAAGCACCTGCTATTATTCCTTTTCCTGCCAGAGTCCCAGTCATTGTTCCTGTCACACCAGGGCTGCAGCTCCTAGAACCCCATTGAATAATTTGAATTCCATTACCCTCAATTTCCTGCCGTTTGACTGTCGAAAGCTGTACCCTGTCTATGCCCCTCCTGTTCCCGAGGAATTGCACTCCAGTAGTTATTCATTTCTCCTTCTAGAGCCCCAGTCATTGCCCCTTCTTCCCTGGTCACACCTACATTGCATCCCATCAAATTCCATCATCCTTAATTCACCTGTCATTTAACTGTTAGAACTTAGAACCTGTCCCCCAATTCATGCCCCTCTGTTCGCACTGAATTACTTCTCCAGTGTCAAAGCGATCTTTCTTTCTCCTGCTGCAGTTCCAGTTCCCAGTACCCCAGCAAAATTTCATCCCCAGTCACGTAATCCATACCCCATCACGAAAAGAGCTGTCTGCCGGTCTTGGGAGTCGGAGTCGATGGCTTGGAGGGCTTAAAAAATTTAAGAAAAAAATATTTAGCTCTCCTCCGATGAGGAGAAGAGTCAGAAGACAGCTTTGTTTAAAAATAAAAATAAAAGAACTGTCCCAGCTTTTTCTCGAGTTCCAGTGATGCTTCCTCCACACCCTGTCCTGCTGCAGTTGGCAGTGCCGATTACCTCAGTAAATTGAGTAAATTGCATTCCATTTCCTGTCAGTGAAACGGTTTTCACCTCTTTGCAGTAGCAGACGCAGATCCCAGGGTTCGATCCCTAGACCTTGCCCTACCTGTGTACAGTACCTGTGTGGACCCCGAGAGTTGAACCTGTGACCTGTGTATTCGTAAACAATTGGCAGGCTGTCATAGGTCCGTAGGTAGCAGGGGTTCGATCTGTAGACCTGTAGAATAGAAGTCTTAGCGAGTTCCAGAAGTCTTGGCTGTAGTCCTAGAAGGTCAGCAAGTGGGCAAGTGGGCAAGTGGTGAGTCAAGTGGTGGACTAACTGCAGTGCAATTGCAGTACGACCTCAGTAGGTTAGCAGCGAGTCCCCATTCAGTCAGCAGTAAGGTCCAGTCAGTCCCAGTCCGGTCCAGCAAGTACCACAAGGGACTGTGAGCACCATGGGCCGATGGCAAAGGGCAGACCAACGAGTTTCAGAAGTATAAATCAAGAGGCAGCGCCCAGCCAATTCATTCATTCCTGCGTGAGCCATGCGGAAGCGCTGCCACAGCGACTTGTGCAAGGAGGTCTGCAGTGAGCCTGGAGCTGAAGTGGGCGAGAGAGAAGGAGCGTAGCATAGCGATAGGGTAGATGTGGCCACTGCCGCCATAGCTGTAGTTGAGGTTTAGTGTGTGTATGTGTGTGAGTGTTCAGAGTCGCGTGTGTGATATCCAGGGTGATCCGGTGTATGTGAACAGTGAGTTGTTTGGGCGCTGAGTCGCCATAGCCAATTGAAAGTGAACTCGTATCTGGATGCCACATCTCTGAGTTTTGAGTGGGCGCATGTCGCCAGTTTGCTGCGCTACTGTTTACATGCATGAAAAGTGTGAATGAAAGCGAGTCTGATTGCATCAGTGAGCTGTTGTCTACCCAGTCCCCGTCACCATAAAGAAAAACGGACCCCAGCCCATGGCCCTCCCATGGACCCATTCCCAATATATTGCTTTTCCAGAGTCCCAGACTCCAGTGATGTTTCATTGTCCCGTGGTCCCACTCGGGCTGCACTGAGCAGAAACCTGGTGAATTACACTTCTTAATAGTTGCCATTAACGTGGGGACCACACCCCCAGCCAGCCGGAACTTGCCACCATATACGGGCAGGCTACACTGCTGGGAGATGGCATAGGTCAGGAACAAGTGTCTAATGTGCGACTGCCACCAGTATTGATGATATTCCACGTGGTCCCGCCACACACCTGGGAATAAGGCATGGTTCTGCATCAAGGCCAAGGGACTGGAAACAGAAGTGGACCAAGATTTGGTACCTCCAAAAGAATTTGTTACGGTATTACATTCTATTTCCTATGATTTCCTGCCCCCCCCCCCCCCCCCCCACAAGCCATCCCGACAGCTTCTCTGGATTGAAATCCCCCACAGGCTACACTGCTGGGAGATGACATAGGTCAGGAACAAGTGTCTAATGAGCGACTGCCACCAGTATTGACGATATTCCATGTGGTCCCGCCACACACCTGGGAATAAGGCATGGTTCTGCACCAAGGCCAAGGAACTGGAAACAGAAGTGGACCAAGATTTGGTATCTCCAAAAGAATATGTTACGGTAATACATCCTATTTCCTACGATTTCCTGCCCCTCTCCCACCCCCCCCTTCCCAAAGCCATCCCGACAGCTTTTCTGGATTGAAAACCCGACAGACTTGTGCAAGGCAGTCTAGGATGGGGTCAATATTGTTAGGGAAATGGAATTACGGTCAACATGGACACAGATATGGTCAGGAACAATCAACAGAGTGAAAACCGAAAAAAAGACACCCTGGAAGACGGCAAGAAAATGAGCGAGACGGAAGTTCGCTACAAAAGGGGTGGCAACTCGAAGATTAGAGGAAGACACCTGAGATGTTCCAGTCGGTGACGGAGGACTTTCGAATGAACGGGTTGCTCGACGCAAGGATTGCAACGATTGAAAAGAGAAGACTGATGTGAAGTTGTGAACCCTTGGATCATATCCATCCCACTGATCCCAGGATCTCGCAGCGGAACCGATGCCTAAGGACGTCATCATAACATAACCTGGAGAAAGAGAGAAAGTGGACAGAAAAGCCGTGGAGGGAATGACAGCGCAGCCACTCTCAGCAAGGAATCGTGAACGATACCAGCTTTTCAAGCGCAAATACAACACCGAAGAAATTGTCAAAATGAAGAAAGGCAATAGGCGTTTTTCGCTTCCTTTTCGCTTGGTCAACTCCCAACAGGCTCGAGTGGGCTAGTGGCCAACATAACAATTATAACGTCCATTGGGATCACAAATCTCATTGGCACAACTAAGTTTCACCCTCTTCCACACACATATTGAGTCACAGAGGGCCCATCATTTCTTTTCCTTTTTCTTTTCTTGCACAGGGCCCATTTTGTCTACGGACCACTGCAGAAGCCACCAACTGCAACCAAATTTCATGTTCCACGAAAGAAATATGAAAATAAATCGTCTGTATATGTGATCTGCTTTGTGAAGTGTCCCAAAAAGGAGGGGGGGTGCAAAATCAGGAAACAGTTGGGGCCACTGCAAAAACTGCAACCAAATTGATCCGTTTCGTGAATTGTGCAAAGAAGAAGGGGGCGGGGGGGGGGGAAGCGGCCAGGAATCAGGAAGCGGTTGGATTACCTGAGTTGAAGGCAGCAAAACCGAGCTACGCCTAGATGGGTCAGATGTTGACCTGCTGCCTGATGCCCTGTTAGGAGCAGTGGCTGCCATCTGTGCCACAATCGATGGCGCTGCAGCAGCCATCTGTGCAACGAGTGCTGGTGCCATCTGGGCAATAAGAGCAGGAAGCTGGGCTTCAATTGCAGCCGCAACTGAGGGCATCTGATCGGAAGGCACCGCTGAGGTTCCATTTGCATCCTGCCTTGTCGATGGGGACACACCTGACAAACCTGACAATGAAGGGTCTATTACCTTCCCAGGTGACGGACCCGCAGAGGGTGGGACTGTGCTAGGTCTTTCTGCTGGGGAAACTGCGACAGGAGGCGTGTGTTGCTGCTTTATGGAGGTTGAAACACTTTCACTTGTCCGCGAAAGCGAAGGTGTTGATGCAGACACAGAACTTCTGCTTTGACTGCCATCAGCTGCAGAAGAAGTACCTGGACTTGTTTCGGATGCAAGAACTTCTGGCTGTGGTTTTGCCGCCGCAACTGGTTTCCCATTTCCGAGGCGGGAGTCCACCTCCATGGGAGCCTTCTGCGCAGAAGACACCTGTAGCTTTAGTTTTGCATTCTCCAGTTCCAACTCTGCGACCTTTTGCACCACCTTATTTTCTTTCCTCAGTCTTTCAATCTCTGATTGCAACTCTGCGAGCTTCTCTGCACCCTGCGCCGCCTGCTTCAGTCTGTCGATTTCAGATTGCATCTCCGCAAGTTTCTTGTCAGCTTGAGCCTCTATCTCAGCTTGCCGAGATTCTGCGCCTTTTTCTGCGGCTTGCAGCAGTCTTGAATTCCTGGACTCTAATTCTGCAACCTTCTCCGCCCCACTCTTCTCGACCTCCGCTTTCGCTCTCTCCAACTCTTCGGCGTGATTTTCTGCTTCGTGCTTCTTGGCCTCTGCTTCCGCCACACGGATCTCCAGCTCTTTCCTTTCCAACATCCAGGCACCCTTCTGCGTCTCCAATTCTCCTTTCTCTGCTTCAACTTCCTCAAACCTCTGCATCAGGCACTCGAGCTCGGTGACTCGCTCTGCGATTTTCTGAAGTTCCTCGTTAGCCGATTGCAGTTTGGCGATGGTTTCCGCCTGTTCCTGCAACTTCAGGCTGTCTTCCCTAGCACTCTCCTCAACTTTGACCATATCCAATGCCTTCTGACGGAGGACTTGGTTCTCTGAGTTGAGGTCATCAAGCTTTTCTTCCATGCTGCACGAAAGCCACAGAGGTATCACACTTTTTATTGTGAACAGCGAACGCTGAACAAGAGTCTGACACATGGTTACGCCAGACCCGGACACCGGACAAGTCCAGACATCCGGCCGGACATGTGTCTGGACTGCTCCAGACCGTCCGGATTGGAAAAAAACCCTTTTTTGAAGTTTTTTCACTAGGCTACCAGAGTGGCCCGGGTCCACTTGCCCGGCCAGGCCAAAAAGAAATAAAAAAATAAACAAATAAAAAAGATTTTTGAATTAAAAATTTTATTTAAAATTTGCTAAAGAATTTCGATGTTACCCTGAGGCAAAAGTTGTTCAGTTTAGTTTTCTGCATAACATATTTTTTTTCTCGGATTTTTTGGATTGTTTTTTTTTTTT